AATATATAAACACGGGATACTCTAGATGTCATAATTTTTGTCCGATTTTGATTAAACTTAACATATATGTTTATATTCCAAAGATCTCAGTTCCTTTCAATATTCGCGCATATCAGATCGTACCTTCCTGGATTATAACCTCATATTGTATAAAAAAAATCACGTGTTTTTTAGCTTATCTATCCATCTCTTGCAAAATGTGGGCGTATCTTGCATGGCAACCGTTGTGTGTTTTATGTGTGGTGAGCAGTGATTTCTTTCGCGTGAACGTGAAGGGGTGCAAATGGTTAAGGGTATGAAGTTGGTGCGCACACTAGTCCAATTGATTAACTGTGTTACGTGTATTGACCAAAATGAAATGAAATGAAATGGGGTTTAACGTCCTACTGTTTTGCTCCGAACTTGGCTAATGAAGACGGGCATACGCCATACAGTGTGCTATGAGAGAAATTTTGCCCGGACAGCGGCACTACGCCCTACTCTTATATCGAATTCCAACTGTCAAGGGATCTTTTACGTGCACGCCAATGTGTACACGGGACCTCGGTGTTTCGTCCCATCCGAACGACTAGACAGCTGTCCTTGTAAGCCCCTCGGTCCTGCATCACTGACAAGGGAAAACCTGTATTGACCAAGGCTAAATGCGCCATGAACACGTTTTGTGGATATAGCGCTTTATAAAGCGACATATTATTATTATTATTAGATTCTGCAGTAAGCTATAATATTGATAAAAAGACATTCGTACATTAATCTGCAGTATTCTGCAGCATTTGCTAAAATGGTTTAAGCATGCATCTAAATTCTACATAATGCTCTTCTTATATGTGTTTCTCCGCCCGATCTACAGAATAAGATAGAATTCCATAGAAAATTGTAGGATTTTACAACTGACTTGGGGATTACATAGTAACTCACGCCTTTTCTATAGGAAGGCAGACCACTTTTAAGTTTCACCCTCTCGGTAGTTTCGTCTATTTATGGCAATTCCCTCTCCCTTTTCTCCCCTTTTGTATGCTCAGTATTATTGATTTTTTGGTCTAGAATGGACGAAGAGAGTTTAAATTAACATTTTTTGCAAGGTTTTGGTAAATAATCATGTTTACTGCGCTTAGAAATACTCATGTGTAATGAAGCGCTATATAAATCGAACAATAATAATAATAATAATTAGAGGCGGGGGGATAGGAGAATTAACAGTTGGTTAAGGTGATACGTACGGCGAATAGTCACATGGGTTAGTATGCTACTTCAAGGTTGTGCATCTCAAAATTTTGGTCGTCAACCTCATACAAAATATGGTGCAAAGACATGAAAATTGGTTTCTCTGTCTGTAGTGAACAGCATTCAGTCCACCGAAAATTTTGGGAAAAGTTGGAGCCGGGCAAGGAGACCAGAATTAACATTGAAGTCAACGGGAGGAAATTAATGGTGGTCTGCATCCGTAAAACTGTTCATTAAAAAAAGGATTTATCTCCCTTGCATAAATTGAAAGCAGGAAGAAATCGGCATTGAAAGGGGGAAAGAAATATTTCATCAGACAACTACAAGTTCGTTCAAGTAAATAGGTGAGTTGTTTATAATAAAAGGCAGTAGAGAAGTCAAACAGATTATATAGGTATATCGATATTGCGGGGCATTTCGGACATGCCCTAGAACTTACACATTCGAATCGATTAGTCAAATCATAATGATATCAATACAAAACACATAACAGTAATAACACGTTGTCGGCTTCGTCAGTTCAATAGAGAGAAGTGGTATCGAATGTTATACAAAAAGAAAGTATGCCTTGTCTCATACATAAGTTGATGACAACTGGGGCAAATATACCCTGAATAATTAGTAGAACAATTTCTAAATCGGTGTTATTCAGTCGAATGAAACGTCTGAAGTGTGACAAACTATCTATTGTAAGGGGAATACCCGTTTTAAACCACCCTTATTGAAGTCCGGTATTCATTTTAATGTCCATTGCATGTAATCAAGGTTAAATTTACATATTAGGGCCAGCCGCTGAATTCTTCAAGATCACGAGATGTAAACAGGTGACCTTAGTATTTAGATCTGACCCCGTAATCTTGTAATCACGACTTGTAGGCTAAAATATCTCAGCCCCCGGATGCGAAATGAAGTTAGCAAACATATTCCTAGCGCGAATATATATATCGAGAAATATCAGACCCATAAAGCTGCACTACTTTGTTCCACGGTAAACGAAGAAAAGGTATGCCGACGCAAACTGGTTTAATAACATTTTAAAGTTCATAAATAATGTCATTGTATATTTGTTACCTCTAACATTTGAAGTTATATTAATGAAAAGTAGGCCTACATACAATAGACAAAAAATCGGGTTATGCATCTGTCGATTTTGTGAAATAAAGATGCTCGAGCCACCAATGCTGGTTTAGAAGTTATTGCATGCGCAGTGAGCCTACCCTAACCCGATTGTTCTATATTTTTAGTATTTTTATGATAATATCTCGAAAATGCAATATATGAGGTTTCTGGGATTTTTCCGTCTTGATGTTTATTCATCCCTTGAATACACATTTTGCCACCAAAGCTGCTTTGAATATTTTTTGATTCAAAGTGGGCGTACCCTTTTCTGCGTACTCAGTTAGCCTTCTCTGCGATATTTTATTATGTTTGCATTAATATTTTTATTTTTTGTCTATTATATATAATTTGCATTATGTGTCTTAAAGTGTTGTTTTCTAACATAAAGGTAACAATTGTTTTCGTGATAAATATATACAGGTGTTAGTTGCCGCTAGGAATATGTTTGCTAACTTCATTTCGAATCCGGGTTTCTAGTTTCTAGAATAGGGGGGGGGGACATTCCGCTAGGTGTAGCAGTTCTTGTAGGTTAGAGAGAGAGATAAAAATGGGCTTTATCGTCCGCTTGACGTAAACTAGGTCATTTCGGGACTTACACACGGTTCAATTTTATTCCAATAATTCACTTGCGCGTAGAAGTCTTTAGCAGTGGGAGGAAACTGGAGGACCCGGAGAAAACCCTTGAGGTTGAACAGGCGATCTACTCCTTGTCACGTACAACCGGAGGAATCGAAACCACGCCAGTTACTCAATGACAGGCCGTGTGATACAGCGCGCGCGTGCTAACCATTGGGCCATCCAACCCCCTTATCCTAGGTTAGATTACGTCACCAATAAAAAGATAGAGGGTGGGAGGTTAAAGTCTATTGACAAAAGGGGAGGTTGGATGACCGAATGGTTAGCACGTGCGTGCTGTATCATACGGTCTGTCATTGAGTCAACTGGCGTGGTTTCGATTCCTCGGTTGTACGTGACAAGGAGTAGGGTCGCCTGTCCAACCTCGGGAGTTTTTTCCGGGTCCTCCGGTTTCCTCCCACTGCTAAAGACCCCTACGCACAAGCGATTTATTGAAATAAAATTGAACCATATGTTGGTCCCGAAATGACCTGTGTCGAGTGGACGTTAAACCCCATTTTTCACTCTCTCCCTCTCTCTCTATTGACAAAAATCAAACTTGGGCTTCTATTGTTATACGTTGTAAGGGTTACGTTTTCTAGGACTATGCTACTTTAATCTAATTTATTGAGATAAATAAATATATATAAATGTATTGTGTTGGGATGTTTGAGCCACTATTAACAACATTTACTAACATACGAGGGGTGGAACAAAGCCAGATTATCCTGACAGGGACCCTGGGAGTGTGGGTGGGGGGTGGCATCACATTTCACATTTAGGGATTCAACCGTGAATAAAAGGAAAGTCATGGAGGGGATTTTAAGGAAGGCTGATATCAGACAGCCGTCTGAACGCTTTAATCGACTGAGTAAGGTACGTTTTCTTTGGCTTCGTGCTGTGTTTAGGACTGTTAGGGAGAATATCGGTACAAGGGCTAAAGGTGACTTGTGCTCATCGACTTCACGCGGAATCGTTCGGAACTCCTGGGAACCAGCTAACATTCGGGACATTTTACGCGACTGACAATTGTTGTGGGGCCTCCCGGGTTGATGGGCCCTGAGGCCCAAGCTTAGTTTTTTTTCTTCTATTTTATAGGGAGGTTTCAATCAGTAAACTCGTTCGTGGGATTGAGATAGACTATTGTTGTTCCTGTTAACCATATTAATTATCTATTCGATCATTAGGCTAACAAAGATCTGTAGCAAAGAATGTGCCACACGTCGGATGTGGTAAGCGACCAACGGTAGTGCATGGCATTTTTTCCTCGGCTTCTTGTTCAAGAATGTGCATGACAATAATAATATCATTTATATTAAATATAAATACTTTAGAACATCAAAACATACACAATTACGCTGCATGTAGCTTCAGATGATGCCTGCAAATAATAAATTACCGTGTCATACTGTTGAAATGATTTCTATGTTAATGTTTTGTTATCACAAAAGCAGCGTGACGCATTTTTTTTTTGTAGAATTCCTCAGCATTATTTTTTAAGTACTCTTGAATACTTTGTAGAATTTGTAAGAATTAATGAATAGAATAGAGTTGAAAATATCACCATTAGTTGTAAGTAGACTTAGAGAATCATTTGTAGATCTTAATATGTATTTTTTATTTAGTTTTTATCGTAAACAATGTTAATTAATAAATGGGTCGTAGTTGGTTGCTCTAATTGCCCATTGTCTGTGGTACCTTGTAGGGGGGGGGGGGGGGGGGTCTTGCCATAACCTAATTTGAGCTTACTTGGCGACCTTCGGTTGCACGGATTTTCGTACTGTAGTCGAACTACCGGCATGCGAATGACATTTAGTTCAACCAGTGGTCGTGACCAGCCGCACCATGCGATAAAGCACGGTCGGGATAGTTGAAAGATGGCTGACAAAACTGACACTTGAGAAGATTTTCTGAAAAATATAATAAAATTGCCGATTGCCGTTGCGTTATTTACAACTTGGTCGGTATTATAGAGTCTATGTTAACACCTGAAAGTTAGTGAATGGGCATTGGAGTATAGATGTTAAGTTTGAATTTTTTTTTTTTCGTCTTTTTTTCATAAATTTGACAGATTAGGATCTTCTTATTCGAATATATATATAGGCCCACCACAAAAAACTGTACGTGTGAAATGATCTTGGTTGGGTGACATTTAATCCAATTACAAATATTCTGATATTGACTAATCCTGTTTGTAACCTATTTTAATCTTGCTTTCACATCACAGTATGGAAAATTAACCAGTTTCTAAAAATACATGAGTAAATAGGAGAAAATATAGCAGACGGAAGAACTGACATGGTCGCCACCATATTGAATAGTCAATGGCTAGGGCCATTTGCGTTCGGGTGCTGGTTCAGACTGTAGTCTCGACCATAGTCTACACCCGAAGGTCGCCCTGGAGACAAGAATTTTATTCAAGGGAGACAACTACATTTAAAGCCCATACGTAAACAAATCGAAAGTAGTAGAAGCAATGGTTGAATTTGTATGATGTTGTTGTTTCTTTATTGTAGTGAATCGCAGTATATTTAGTTGAATCGAAGTTTAATGTCACTGAATCGCAGTTTAACAATTACCAGATGTAACAGTAGAATTGAACTTTGTAGAAAATAGATAGAATTGACATTTGAAGAATATTATTGAGGGATATATAAATCTGTGAATATAGACTTTTGGCGTTTTTTATTCAGTATAAGTGTATACGCAGAATTTAACATTTATCCGTTAACACGTACTGTTTAGCAAATGAATGTCTGACCAAATTAATGTTTTTGATTTCATTGGATCATTTTAAGTTGAGGGGAATAATCAGACAGAATAAGTTGCACTTTGTAGACCAACACTTAAACATATTGCATACAAAGAACAGTTAAACAAGACGGTTGATAGGAGAGCGAAAGTTGATGGTTTGTATTTGATGTCATGTTTAGTTTGTATGGTGTACTGGGTTAGGGTTAGGGTTAGTTTGTATGTTTAGTTTGTATGTTATACTATAGAATTGTCCATTACACAGACTCCAGTCGTACATACCTCGAGAATGGTATATGGTTAAGGAAAAGTGCAGAACGTGTGGAAGTATGTGAATTTTGATGGATGAACATGTTATATATGTACATACCTAATAGTCTTTATTTATTTGTATATTTTAGTGAAGTTGAGATAATAACGGCCACTCGATATTGACCAACATTTAAACAAGATGGATGACCGACGGTACGTATATTAAACAGACCAGGCTTTAGAATCTGTCCACCACCCACACTAACCCACTGCCTGTACGGTGAACATCAGATATAGATGGTGGGGGGGGGGTTAAGGTATAGCTAACCTATTGTCTATACGGTACAGTTAGCTTACTGTAGATATGCTAAAAGACAGGGTTAACAGGGGTAAGGTATAGCTAACCTATTGTATATACGGTACAGTTAGCCTACTGTAGATATGCTAAAAGACAGGGGTAAGGTATAGTGCTTAAAGCAAATCTGGTGGACAGGTTATGATTATACTGTAACTAAACGGTATAAATAATTAATGTATATTAAGACAATTACATATTTCAGACATGAGAAATACTTTATACCATAGACGTATTTGATTAATTAATGTATATTGAGATATTTACATATTTCAGACATTAGTAATGCTTTATACTATAGACGTATTTGATTAATTTTGGAATCATACTAAAAGATATTAATAAGACAGAATACCTTGGCTTATTACATGGTTATTGTGTTTATAAATATGTTTAATATATTTTAGGCTATGGTTTAAACTAGACCGAGCGCAAAGAAAAGAAAATATTGGAGAAATGGTAGGAACATTGTCATTACAAGATAAGAAGCCAGCTTTAATTATAGCTGCTAATTACCGGTTGTATGAAGTCATGGTTTGTCTATTAGAACAGGGAGTTGATGTACATTATGTTAATGGTCATCAGAGCAACCTGATACACATACTTTTAAATAACTTTTACAGACATGACAATGCAGGTAGACATGATTTGTTATTGCAATGTGTGGTTAAATTAGTTGATCTTGGTGTAGACGTCAACCAGGTGAATGATGATAACGATACCCCAATATTTATAGCTGCTAAGAAAGGGTTATATGAAGTTGTAATATGTCTGTTAAAAGACGGTGTCGATGTACATTATGCTGATAGCAGTCAGAATAACTTAATACACAAACTTTTAGATAGCTATGGATATTTCAGACATGACTATACAGGTAGGCGTGATTTGGTATTGTCATGTGTAGTTAAATTAGTTGAAGCTGGTGTAGACGTCAACCAGTTGAATAAAGATAAAGAAACACCTATAGTTATAGCTGCTAGAGAAAGGTTGTATAAAGTTGTTATATATCTGTTAGAATACGGAGTTGGTGTAAATTATATTGATCGGCACCAGAACAACCTGCTGAACACACTTTTACATAATTATAACATGCATAACAAACTACGTGAACGTGATTTGTTATTACAATGTGTAGTTAGATTATTCGATGCTGGTGTAGATGTCAACCACGTGAATGAATATAAAGACACGCCTATATTTATAGCTGCTAGTAAAGGATTGTATGAAGTTGTCATGTATCTGTTAAAACACGGAGTAGATGTACATTATGTTAATAGTCGTAATCACAACATTCTTCACTATGTTTTGGGTTATATGCATTCTTATGTTAAATTTGAAGAAAAATATATACAACTCGTTAATACTTTAATAAACACAGGATTAAACATAAACCAACCTGACTCTGACGGTAATACCCCGTTGTTCTTTGTCGGTATATACAACACTTCTGGTGGCATCTCCCTGGTTAATCTGGATAAAGTGTACGGAATGAAATTGAAATTAGAGACAGAACAGGACATCTGTGTTCCATTAAAATGTAAATTGATTAACATGTTATTAGATGCTGGTTGTAATGTGAACCATCAAAACGAACTGGGAAGGACGGCTTTAATGAACAATATACAAGTCCAAGCTTATATCAGTATATTAAAACTGTTAATTCCACATTCTAATCTAAGTTTAACTGATAATAATGGTAATACAGCAATCAGTTATTGTGTTCAATATCACATGATCAATTCTACTGCCGTCTTTAAACTTTTAGTAGATTTAGGTGCAGATCTGATGTCGCGTAGCAACGGAGTTAAGTTATTCCATGACATTTTAAAATGTAAGAGGTTGTGGGTGTTCATTTATTACATTAGGCTAAAGTTGATTGTTAATGGTGTTACAGCTGAAGGAGAAAATATGTTTCACCTTTTAGCTTGTGTTAACTATGATTATTCTCTAAACAAGTTTAACTGGTTGTTAAATAACGAGCTAGACATTAACCATCCCTGTTCTAAAACCAACACACCGACTATGATAGCTGCCTTTTTATTAAACAGCAAATATTTAAAACTGTTGACACATCATCCTAGACTAGAGATCAATACACAAAATAACCAGGGCCACACAGCTCTTCATCTGTGTATCATTGGATTTACGATGTTTAAAGATGGGTTGAACAAGAGACAGGTAAATGATGATGTTAAGGATAATTGTAAAAAGATATATACAATATACATGGCCTGTATTGATAGTTTACTTGGTGTTGATGGTATTAATGTAAATATTCAAGACAATAGGGGTAGAACTAGTTTAATGATGGCTGCTATGAAAAATGACAGAGTTCTTACAAGGAAACTACTCCAGGCTGGTTCCATAGTTAACACGTTAGACTATTCAGGAAGATCAGCTCTGCAATATCTTGATATTTATCAGAGTGTGTTTGATTTGACTTGTTTTAAATTACTTCTATCTAATGGTAATGACAATACTGGTCTTCTCAATTTACCTTGTATTGATGGTAACACGATTATTCAAACAGCCCTGTGTTTTCCCCGATTCTGGGAACCATGTCAAGCCATTTGTTTTATTAGGTATTTAGTTGCTGAAAATTGTTGTGTTCAGACTCTCGTTACGACTTCAGGTGAAAGTAGCTATATTCAAATTGGTCTTACTGAGTTATGCATTCCGGAGAGGGATAAACTGCGAAAACTGTTATGTCTCAGTGGTGCCCATGGTGGGGAAATTATGAAAACTTTAAATTTTGATAAGGAAGATCACACTACCCATTCACAAGGCAGGGAAGATTTCATTCGTTTCTGTAGTAATAGATCTCTCAAGTCCCTGTGTAGGAGAATCATCAGACAGAATCTTGGATTGGGAATACAGGCGAAGGTCAAAGATCTAGATTTACCCCGTGAATTAAATGATTTTCTACTACTAAATGATGTTCTTCATCCTCAAGATTACAACTTAAACCATATTGATGATGGCTGTAATTATTTTGATGATGATGATGATTATGACGGCTATGATATAGATAAAGATAGAGACGATGATTATAGTCAATATAACTACCAGTATTTTACTCTCAATACAGATCATGAACTAAGACATGATTTTATAAGAACCAGGATATTTCCAAATGGTGATTTTTGTCCTTAGTAAACACAGACAATAAATGATGATATAATTATAATACGGATTTCCTCATGGTCCGTATGATGATGATTTATTTGATGATTAGTATTGTGATTATTACACATATAGACAAATAACGATGGTGATTAAAATACCGATACCGATATGTCGGTCATTCTGTCAATTCTCAACAGGATACAGGAATGTTGAAAAGGGGGCGCGTGCAAACCCCTATTATTCCCGATAGGTCGCATCTAAATACATTTTCTAGGTCTTTGAATCTTGGTATATAAAAAGTTAGTATTTATAGTGATACGGCTAGTTATTGTACGTTTCACTATAAATATTACATTTTAGTTTAACTAATTATCATGCGTGCTTGAAAACGATAAGAGAATACTTGTCAAAACGTCGTTCTATGCCTATAAACCAGTGATTGTGTTGTGTTTGTTAATGTTTATTGAAAGTTTTAATTTCTAGTACAGCTCTAGTTTATGGTTACACAATATACATAATTATTCTAGTTCTATGGTGGGAGCCACGGTGGCTACATGGTTAAGACGCTGGCTCGCTAGCCTGGAAGTCGGGTGTTCGATCCCTGCATTGGCCGAGAAAGTTCATCCAGATTTTCCGACGTGGTTTCCCCTTGTCAGTGGTGCAGAACGGAGGGCCTGACAAGGACAGCTGTCTAGTCCTTCGGATGAGACGAAAAACCGAGGTCCCGTGTATATATTGGAATGCACGACAAAGATCCCCTGGCAGTTGGAATTCGATATAAGAGTAGGCGATAGTGCCGCTGCTCGGGCGAAATTTCCCTCATAGCACACTGCATGGCGTATGCCCGTCTTCATTAGCACATTATAGGAGCAGAACAGTAGGACGTTAAACCCCATTTCATTTCATTTTCATTTCAGTTCTATGGTTTATGTAATGTATTATCTGTTTATTGAATATTTTAGGCACAATATAAAAAAACTATATAATAAAGTATAAAGCAGAGACACAATGTTTATTGAAAGTTTTAATTGCATTCCCTCTTTAGTTTACTTTCATTTATAATTAGGGAGGTTGGATGGCTGAATGGTTAGCGTGCGCGCACTGTATCATAAAGTCTGTCATTGAGTCGACTGGCGTGGTTTCGAATCCCCGGTTGTACGTGGCAAGGAGTAGGGTCGCCTGTCCAACCTCGTGGGTTTTCTCCGGGTCCTCCGGTTTCCTCCCACTGCTAAAGACTCCTACGCGCAAGCGAATTATGAAAATAAAATTAAACCATATGTTAGTCCCAAAATGACCTAGTTTGTGTTGAGTGGACGTTAAATCCCATTTCTCTCTCTCTCTTTATTTAAAGTTTTAATTGTATTTCCCTCTTTAGTTTACTTTCATTTATAATTAAGTAATGTAATAATAACCTTGTAATGTATATCATTCCTGTATATAGATTATAGTACAGTAACAGCTATCTTGTAACGGTTACACAATATATCTAATCTATGTAAATATACCCCATGTATATTATTCATGTGTGTAAATTAAAGAATAGAAACGTCTGTTATTGATTTTGTCACAAACATTGATAAACCCAAGATTCCAGCTCTTGTCTTTATTGACCGGCATATTTAGTAGAGACAGAAATTGGGTTTAACGTCCCCTCGATATAAGCTAGATCATTTCGGGACTAACATGTGGGTATTTATTTCAATAGCTTGCTTGCGCGTAGGGGCCTTTAGCAGTGGGAGGGAACTAGTCGAGCACAATAGCCCAGATAGTCTGCTCTTTAACTACAGTGATTCTTATGAGATCAAGCTAGAAGTGTAAACATCCACAGCAAGATATCATACGCCTAACCTCAATCTCACCCTCATTCAAATTGAGCTGTCTATAGCCCGGTTATATGTGTAATGCTAGGTGCTAGGGGAGAATAATGTGAACAAGAACATCAAACAACTAGGCAATACTGCCCTTGGATTTCTCTCCCAACCAATCCCCTAAACAACTCTGACCTTGTCATACCTTCGCGATACAAGAGAGAACTGGGCTTGAAAAATCCTGATCGTTTATTGGGACCTGACCACTTGACCACCATTGTTTGCACCCTGATTGTAGAAAACAAAATCCCACTGGGTGGAAGCGAATCCCCGGGACATAGGCCACCATCAAAGTCACAGGTCCTTGTTTAAGATGACGTTATAACCCCGGGGATATAAGTCGTAAACTAGGTTATAACCACATGGATATAGACCAACTGACTCGCCAATTCATTATTCAACATTGCCCAATATCAGTATCCATAATCTTAAATGCTTTAAGGGGGTCTTGGTGGCTCGGAGAGTAAGAACAGTAAGTGGTATACGAAAAGTCTGTTGGACTGAACACCGAAGTCTCGTGTACATCATGTTATTCCACTAGAGAACACGCGGTGACTCGATCACACAGCTGGCCGAGAAAATACACCAGAATATTTCAGCATGGCCTTTTCTAGTCAGTCGTGCAGGACGGAAGACCGATTGTCAAGTCGATGTGACGGGTCGAGAAGCCGAGATCCCGTTACTTTTTGGCGTGCATGTAGTAATGCAAATGAAATAGAGTTTAATGTCCTAATGCAGACGGGCACGAGGGAAGCAGCTCCACGATATAGTCATATTTTGAATTCAACTACCCAGGGGATAATGGAGACGGACATACCCCATACAGCGCCATATGAGGGAAATTGAGACGGGTTTACGCCATGAAGTGCCCTTTAAGGGTAGGTTTGCTCAGACAGTGGCGCTACGGCTTACTCGAATTTCAAATCTTATTTTACATATACGCCAATCCATTAGGCTAGAAACTAGCTTTACTAGACTCTCTGTCCTGCGGCACTTGCAAATGGACCCCGCGCCATGTTAGAGATCATTTGAAAATCTACTTTGAGTGAGCTTGGAATGGCAGAAGATTATAATCAAGGGCGTGACGATAGCTACAAAAAAACAAACCCCAGACGCATTACTTAAAGATACATTATGGAAGATTCGATAACGCGTTGGCAGTTCTCACTATAATAGTTAAAAACCAAATAATGTAAAGGCAATTTGCCGAAAATTTCATTCAAATTGATCCACTATGAACCGAGAACTAAGCGATTGAAATTTCCGTCTAGCCTCGATCATCATTACTAACGTCAGTATGATAAACAGCATAGTCTCGATTATCCATTTAATCGTTAAATCGTGAAGGAAAGTTATGCAGTAAATCAGCTCATAATCCACTAAATATCGAAGGCTAGCGATGCCATCTAGAGTTGATTTTGGTCTGGATAGGTTAATTAATATCTAATTAATAATTTAGATAACGTTTCAGGCCTAAAGAAAGATCTGCAATAGGCAGATTTACTCTTGCATAATAAATGTTTAACAGGTGCGTGCTGAAAGTCCTCTTGCATAATGCATGTTTAAATACGAGGTCCAACGAATTAGAGAGAGACTAAACATATTGTTCAGTTTTAGGGGCCGTAAGCTGTGGGAGGAACAAGAGAAAAAACTTCGAGGTTGGACAGGCGACACTACTCCTTGTCGCGTACCAACGAGGAATTGAAACCGCAATGACAGACCCTAAGATCTAGGGTCTGTCATTTCCGGCGTGGTTCCCCTTGGCAGTGGTGTAGGACGGACGGCCAGGCAAGAAACAAAGTTTTGTCGATAGGAAGGGACGAAAAAACGAGGTCCAATGTACACACTGGTGTGCACGTAAAATAACCCTTGACAATTTGAGTTCTATATAAGAGTAGGTCGTAACTCTGCTGTCCTGGCAAAATTGATCTCATAGCACACTGCATGCCCGCCTTCATTAACCCAGTAGGAACAGAACAGTAGGACACTAAACCCCATTTTATTCCGTTTCATTTGTTTATGTGAAAAGCGACCTCTTTGGGCCAATTCCATGCCAAGTGGACCAGGGCGTGCCGGGTGACCCCCTAGAAGATTATATATAAAAAAACATATAGTACATACAAACTTCTGTTAAACTACAAAGTTGTATGACTCTAGCATTTATGTGAAAAGCGACCTCTTTGGGCCAATTCCATGTCCAGTGGACCAGTGCGTGCCGGGTGACCCCTTAGAAGATTTTAAAAAAACATATATGTTATAGTATATACACATTTCTGTAAATCCACAAAGTTCTGTGACTCTAGCATTAATATTGGCTGAGATATGACCTTTTCAATCGAGGTATCCTTTCGCAAGTTTTGAAACTACTAGACTATGACTAGATTTTGTTTTACTGACAACTGTCTGAGAATTTGGTTAACTTGACATGGAATGAGCTTACTACATTAGAACACCGTAGTTAGTAGCTATTTGTTTCTCATTGCATAAATAATATATAAATACCTGAAAAGACCTAATTGTGTGTGACCGTTACAGCAAGATAAATCTGAATAGGTTTCACGACATTTTACATGCTCGCATTCCTTCCTCCGCGACATTTCTTCTTCCAGTATGCTCTGTTATTCTCAACATTTTCTTATTGGATGCCTTCGCAACTACACGGGATAACTGCATATCAAGAAATAGACGAAACAAAAGACAAATGAACAAACGATCGACGGCACTATACGATGATGCAGATTGGTTAATTAATAAGAGAAGATTGTGTTCCATACACATTTAAATTATGTTGTGTTGTTATTTGTGTGCTCAGTCGACTTATGTCAACCAAGGAATGTGATTATCAACGAGCGATCTTCGGATTTGTTACTTTCAACAAGAAACATAGACGAAATATCTACATTATATTTGAAAACATATCACACGAGATGGGTTCTACGGATAAATTTTGACATTTAATGACAATAAAACTAAAGATGTGACAATGGATGTCAATTTTTTAAGATATAGACCCAATTTGTTGTCAATAGAGATGATTTTTGTGTGTTTTATGTTGATCATATCTTCAATACAAGCCACTGTACTAGATGTACCTGCTACAGGTAAATTGCTATATACAATTGATAATAAATTAGCATATTAATGGAATGGGGTTTAACGTCTCCTCAACACAACACTTCTATTTTGAGACTAACACATAGTAATTTTCATTTCAATATTTACGTGTGAAATATGAGACGAAGTAATATTGACAGCAGCGCTGCCAAGGGTTCTTTTGGTTGTATCCCAATGTTCTCACAGGTGAACCTTTTTCGTCCCATCCGAAAGACTAGAGACACTTTCTTTATCAGCCCCGTGGGCGTATTAGAATTTTATTGACAATTCTTTCACGATTTCCAATTAAAGAAATTTAAAATATTTTTTCTCAGTTTCCTAACAAACATTATGTAAAAATTAAAGCCATGTATGCTGATTCTCTACATGGTTAGATGAATTAATAATTTCGATATCCAAGCCGAGGGAAAATAGGCCATTGATATTGCAGGTATACCTTTTAGAATGCAGGCCGGGAGATTTTTTTTGACTTTCTTTTCATAGTTAAATGTTAAATAATCATTTTAAGAATTCTTTATGCTATGAAAAATCGACATTGTCCTGAAAATGCACGATCATGTGTGCGATACTGATAATAGCATGTCTTACCTCACATATAGCTTGAAATTTCGTAAATCTGTGTGTGAGGAGAGCAAATATTGGTAAAACAGTGCTCTTTATCTATTATGAAGTAAACAAATCTCCAGTAAGTCCAAATAGATTGTAAAATCATTGATACAATAGGTTTTTTTTTTTTTTTTTTTTTTTTTTTGGTTCTGTATTACATTACACGACACGTTTTACTTTGCCCAGTCAGGGCAGAACAGTATGACGTTACACCCCATTTCATTTCATTTTCTTACACGTTTTACACTTCAAATTTTTAATATTGTATCCAGCCTTTTCTGAAAAACATTTTCATACTATTTGGCACTTTCATGTTATAACTTATTATTAATGTCTCGGTGACTGGGCTCAATTAATATGTCACAGCGGTATTACGAACACTTCTTTTTAAGCCTGTAGATCATGACTGACCTTTACGTTCACGTGCTGTATAGGTCAACGTTTGACGTCACATGATACGATCTTGATAACCGCCAAACCAAGTAATACACACTGACTGGCCTAACCTGAATTTAAATATTTTATGTTCCCATTTCCACTCAACAGGAAATATTATTTATCTGCATATACTTTCAGCACATTTATTTTCTTTAATAATTTGAAACATTGTTTTTGAATTTAATTTGCAGAAGAAAATGGTTAATATTGAGAGCTAATTACCTCACCCCTTACAGTGATAGAAATGGCCAAGCGTATATTTACTGCTGATCAGTTTGGGGCTGAACTTGTGTTTGCCATATTGCCCCGGTTATCAGGGATTTACCAGGGATGAAAGAGCTTTGTCCATATTGCCTAAGCCATTAGGGCTGAAAGGGAGTTACCCATATTTTTCCCTTCACAAGGGCAGAAAACTCTTTGCCCATTTATCCCTATCTGGAGGCAGATCACCATTAAATTTCACCATCTCGGTACCCCATTGTAGTTCGTCTATTTATAGCAATTCTCTCTCTCTCTCTCTTTTCTCCCCTTTTGCATGCCCATTTTTGTTGATGTTTTGGTCTAGAATGGACGAAAAGGATGTTTGAATTAACATTTTCTGCCAGGTTTTGGTAAATATTCATGATTTTGAGGCGGAAGGATAACGGGGTTATCAGGTTGGCTACGGCGGTATTACGGCAACTAGTTACATGTTTTTAGTATGCTTCTTCAAGTTTGTGTATCTCAAAATTTTGGTCGTCAACCTCATACAAATTTCAGTGCAAAGACAAGACCATTTTTTCCTGTGCCTGTAGTGAAAAGCATTCAGTCCAACGAAAATTTGGGGAAAAGTTGGAGGTGGGCAAAGAGGCCAGAATTAACATTGAAGTCAATGGGGAAATTAATGGTGGTCTGCCATCTATTGGGCTGAAAACATTTTACTTGTATGGTCTCAGTCACTATGGTGTTCGCCATCTTGTTCCTGTCACTAGGGCTAAATGCTTATGCGACAGAGTCATTTAGTGACTGACACGTTTGAGATAGAGTCATTTAGTGACATATATGTACTGACAAGTATGTGATGTAATCATTTACGGACTGACATGTGTGTGATAAAGTCATTTAGGGACTGGCACGTTTGTGATAGAATCATTTAGGGACTGACGTGTGTAACTGTTTATTAATTTGTCGGCACAATGGTTTTACTGAGGCACCATACATTTTTAACACCCGGGGTTAAATAACTGACACTTCTTTTCAAGCAAGTTCCTATATAATTTCTATTATAGTCCTATTATATAGTCCTATTATATTGCTGTAATCCTCAAACCGGCCCGAGTAAAGTTTCCAGGATTCCATTATATCATTATATCTTTCAGCTGATAGTGTAAGAGGATCAACTGTGTATACATTATTTACTAACAAGAAAAGTTGGAAGGAGGCACGAGAAGTGTGCCGACAAAATGGGGGATATTTAATTAATATCGAAACTGAAACAAAATACCAAAAGTACATATCTATGAAAACCGGTGCATTTTCTTCAAGGTGAGCATCTTCGATAATCAAGTCACATCTTTCTCCGGAGGATTTGAACCTCTGGGTGCCCGTTTATATCGTTATCTCTCACCGCCCTCTTCGGATCCATTTACTCGTAACGAAGACCTCACTACGCGGGCTTACTTTGAGTGACCTACCCACCCTCCCTTCAAGTGTGAAGACAACTACCCTTTTAGAACGCGCACAGTTGAAGAAATCTTCAACCTTTTCGAAGTCCCCTCAGCGCTCAACCGCGTCACCGCCCCGCTGTAAAAGACCGCGCCACCGTAGAACGACGAACCTGTCACATGTTTAAATGTTACAGCAACCTCGCCTCGATCGGCTCATTTTAGGTACATGCAGTTCCGCTTGATCTTAATGAAACAGTGATTTACATTTGGGCGGACAATATCAAATTTCGCAAGGGTTAATCCACACTACTATGTACAATATTAATTATTTCAGATATAATTAAGGACAAGAAATCAACGCTATATAATTCCCCGACTCGGATTCAATTTAATTAAAAAACCGACCCATCAATTATACGTTGCGAGCACGTTAAGATGGCGGCTAAAGTGTTATAATATTATGACGTCATCCGAAAATAAACAGACTGCTGTAGTTCAATTTGTAGACCTGATTTGTTTGTCCACAAATGCTGTCAATAAAAAGAAGCAAAAAAAGGGGGAAAGTGTGTCATTTACATAAAAACCAGCACGGATCTATAGAGTAAAACTTCATCGTATCTTTGTAAATAATAGAAAGAATTGAACTTTTACAAATACCCGCTCCCGCATATTGAATAGTCCACAGCCTAAGCTGACTGACATTGTAATTCCTAATTCCTAAGAATTTTGAAAAGTATTTATTCAGTCTCCATTTAATAAAATCGATACTGCTTATTTATGTCTTTGTGTGTATGAAAGATGTAAAGTTTATTACAACCACATTACAAAATAGTGTGCAAGGTTTTTTTTTAATATGGCGGTCATTCGGCGCAGAGATCTATTACTAAAGTAGATAGTCCATTTTACAGGCATGGTCTATTTAGACTTACAAATTACATTCTACACGTTCGAGCAGGAGCTAGTTACGCATGATTTAATGATATATTATTCTTTTGATTTGTAACAATAATATAGTGTTTGCACCTACCGTAAATGAACATGACATCGTATGCTGCTTTAAGTGTTATTTCCATACACGATTTGCAAGAATAATATAGTGTATGCACCTATTGTAAATATACATTATCTGAAGACAATCTGACCAAAACACATATCCTATTTCGTTTTGTTTTTTCGCCGAGCATATTTTGATGATGGTTTGTCCTTACGACTGTTGGATCTGGAAGAGTCATTGAAAACACTGTCTTCGGTTTGAGTTTGTATATCAGCCAACGAAACTGTTTGTTCAATTAAGCTTTTTAAATGAATTTAATGCACGGCCTTAAGTGTAATCAGGGGGATTGGATGGCTGAATGGTTAGCGCGTGCGCACTGTATCATAAAGTCTGTCATTGAGTCAACTAGCATGGTTTCGATTCCCCGGCTGTACGTTACAATGAGTAGCGGAGTCGCCTTCCAACCTCGTGGGTTTTCTCCGGGTCCTCCGGTTTTCTCCCACTTCTAACGACCCCTACGCGCAAGTGAATGATTGAACAAAAATTGAACCATGTGTTAGTCCCGAAATGAACTAGTTTGTGTCGAGTGGACGTTAGACCTCATCCTCTCTCTCTCTTTCTCTCCCCCCCTCTCTCTCTCTTATGTGTAGTCAAAGTAAAATTTAGTCAATGAATCACTACCTTACCAGTTAGAATCTATATGGGATAGATACCATCGAATCGACTCGAAATTGAGAAGTATACTTTAATCACAGACTGATTCGAGAACAGCAGAATCTATAACATGTATCTTAACCGTTACAGTATTGAGTCTCCGTGGACCGGTTTACATTGGACATCATCCACATCCAGACATTGGGATGGTCCGGGATGTCCACCTCCACAGACACACCTGTCGGCATCGTTCCATTGGAGAACCCGTACTGACTCCAATTACGATGCTGGTGAACTTTGCTATAGAGAAATGGACAACGGGTTACAGAGATTTGATTGTAAGGAAAACAACACATTTATTTGCGAGCATTACAGAGGTGAGTTCAAAGTATACGAATTATAAGGCTTCTTATTACCATTAGGCTTATTGTTATTGTTAGGCTAATTACGATAATTATTATTATTCTGATTATTATTATTAGGATTAATATTTATATTATTATTATTTTGTAATTAACATATTTCTGTTAACCCCCACACCGCAACACACAGGTTTACAACTGTATTGTTTAAAATGGTTGGGTGGGGCAATTACATGTCAGTTGCATTCTTGAGCACTCCCAAAATATAATGAACGAACGAGTTACACCCTCCTACACGTAAGCACTGAACACTGGTGTTTATATACGTTAAACGGTGCTTGGAAGGGGTTACATCCGTACGATTGTATACTGCATCCACATCCAAACAGCGCCAATTTCACACAGTACGGTGGGTTGCAATTTGGGAATTTAGGAACAAAGCTGTCATTTGACATTAATTACGTTTGCATTTAAAGTAATTTAAGCGTGTTTTAAACTTATCGAAGTATAAATGGGATTGACATAACAATACGGTATAATGTTTTGAATACCGTTCATTCTCTTAATTTCAGATGGCACGTGTATTTATGATGAGTCGACGATCACATCGTTTACATATAAAGTGTTAACGTCGACATTAGGTGATTGTAAAGTTATCTGTACCAATACAACTGGTTGTTTTCTGACGACCAAATTGGCTAATCAACATATATGTTTCATGCTATTAGCCACAGATGTCAGTAACACAACAGTTTTCATTAAAAATTGTTCATATGGTAATTATACTTTTTAGTGCATTTCTGTTTATTGCAAATACTTAAAGATACATTATGTAAGATTTAGATAAATGAAATGAAATGGGGTTTAACGTCACATTGCCTTATTCGGAGCGAGGTTATGAATGATTAACGTAGTCTTGATTGTCATTGCTACGATAATAAACAGATCGTATTCGCGATTAAATGTAAAATATAACTTCAATCTTAAAGTATATTTTTAATTGGCTGATCTTCGATTGTTGCCACCATCACCATTATCTATTTGTTTATTGTGGTTAACAGTAAGATATTTGATGTATAGGCATGTGCAACAGACTGTGAAACAGAAATATTATGTGGTCGTGTTTGTGTATTTATTGTTGATAGACGACAGTGTGATATAATGATATAGTCAGGTGTGCGTCGGTGTCTCCCTCATTTTATATATATTATTTTTATTCAAGTAAGTTAAAATAGTTAGTAATCAGGTAGTATTCATTAAGTAGGTGTTACGTCTGTTACACAATTGACATTATTTAGGAAATATCACTTAACACCCTCCCATACATGAAACCGATTAACCTTATCAGATTATGATATTGACACTGGTCTGACACGGCCAACGGCCACGTATAAGTCATTAGTTACTACCCCTGGCCTGAGTTATGATGCAATAAATAGCCAACAGCATAATCTCTTCGATATCCTTTGTCTGGTAATGCAATCTGTACTAAAGACTTGGTCTGGCAATGGCTAGATGTATAATCTTGTGGCATCCTTTTATCTAGAAAGAGTTTATAAGTAGAAATTAAAAGTAGATAAGGGCAGACTAGCTAGGCGAGGGCGTCAAGAAGGTACCAGGCAGGTCTCGAGTTAAAACAGGACAGCGGCCATGTAAGTTAGTTGAGAGTTGGTAAGCTAGAACCATGCCTCCCTCAGCACAAGCAAATTACCGAGTCTTAAGTTTTGTATATGATATGTTTGAAGAAGAATAGAAGTTAAGCCAGTGTTGTCATCAAGAACCTGACTAAAAGACTCGATACCGTAACACGTGGCTAGGGTGTTAAAACCGTGACTATTGAATGCTATACACCGATAGTGTGTATTCAATAGTGATGGGTATTGCAATTATTGACGCTTTTACACCAGTAATGACATATTTTACAGCTAGTTGCACACCTGCTAATTAATGACTACTGTATCATTTCTAGCCACTTTCTATGTATACCAATCATTAGAATAATGATCACTTTTACTGGCATAATTTGTCATTACTAAAGGCACAGTGGCCTGTTTCACGAAATTTTAACTAAGATAAAATCAAAATTTTAGTAATTTGATTGGACAATATTAGATTTATTTTAGTGCTTAGCCAATCAAAACTGAAATATCTACTAAAATTTGGATTTTATTTTTAGTTAAGATTTCGAGAAACAGTGCCCAAGTCCATAAATCATCATAAATTTCTGCTTACCAGTGTTTCTTGATTGTAGAGATTGCAATCGACAGTGAGGCACGTGATATAGTTGTGTTGATATGTAGTTATATCATGTTATTTTTATTGTAGAGACTGCAATCGACAGTGCGAGACATGATGTAGTCCGTGACGATTCTGATCCTACAGACTGTGCTAACCAACCATCAAGTTTAGGTAAGCCATGTGCATTAATAAGTAACAGATAATTTATAGGTACTCAAGATGCCCTGGGCCCGGTTCCTAGAAAATTCTTAAAGTGAGCACAAAGTCATGCTTCACTTTTTCTTACGTAAGAAACTTATAAAAATACCGTCCCTAGAAAATTCTCAAGACCATTCTTACGTAAGCACAAGTCAAGTATAAGTCTAAGCACATTGTGACTGGTAAAGTTTACCATAAACTGAGACTACGATGCTCTTTAACGTCACAAAAACAACTTTGGTATGCGAATTACGTCATAAATTTGTCGTCTGCTTCATTGACGTCATATATATATATATATATATATATATGGTTGATTTAGAGGTAGGCTATTTGACATGTCCCCTATACACATATAAAATGTGCCACAAGATAAAAAAAACGCAAACACATACAAACTAACTGAATAATTGTGAGAGCGCTTGATCTTAAGTAACCCGTGTGTTTGTAGCCTATTATTTACTAATTGGCAAATAAATAAAATGGTTTCAGGGTAGAAGCGACATTTTCTATAGTATTCTTAATTTCTTCTGGAGAAGGATTTTCTCTGTCTTGTAATTGTCTCTTTGGTATCAAAAGGTGTCGGAAATGCCGTCGAATAACTCTACGGTCAGCCATCTTTTTGAAGTGGAAACAGACTTAAGGTTGGTAAGCAAGCCGTATACCTTGCTTGGGACTTAGATTTCTTGGAACGCATAAAAACGTTCTTGTGCTTACAATGAAGTCTACTTAAAATCTAAGCATAAGAACGTTCTTAGGAATCGGGCCCTGGTCTTATTCAAACAATTGTTGTAAAAGTGATAAATATCCATTTAATCACATCAAACTTTCTACGTAAATAGTAGTTATGTGTGTAGTTCTGTGGGTAGAATATCCAGTCTTTCAAGGCATCAGATACTACTTTTGTCCATAGCCGGTCTGCCGATATGACACCGTAACTGTGGTAGAAACCAGTTGCCATTAATTTGTCGCCTGGTGTGTGGGTCCGCTTTTAGATCATAAGGTCTGTCATTGAGTCAAGCACATGCACGTGACAAGGAGTGGGGTCGCCTGCCTAACCTCGTTGGTTTTCTCTTCTTGTACCGGCTTCACTTAACTTCATTCGATATTTCAGTACCATCTACAACAGCACGTTCTACTGTCACAAGCACAACTACCGAAACGACAACTTTTATAGAAACTTCAACTGAAACGACCACGTCCTCGATCACTATAACATTTACCGGTATGTCCACAGTAACGCAGTACTCCACATACTGGTCTTCTACAAAGGCATCTATTGCACCTACAGAATCGACAACTGAAAACATGACAGCAGAGGTTACGACGGATTCTTTGGTAGCTACCCAACCAGTAGAAAACGCTATAACAACAATATCACAGATTAATACTGTGACAGTTGTTGACTCTTCATTGGTTGTATCCACGGTTACAGAAACACAGGTTCAAGCATATGAAACCTCAACAGCTGACGTCACGGGATCGTGTACGCCGAGAGTTCTGTACGCTTATTTTCCTTGTCCTAAAGAGAGGGTCCAAACTGTCGTTACAACAATTCAGTCATCTTGCGTTTCTCTTCAGGTGAATGACACAATTGCTTCCAGTTCTACTGGGATTACAGGTTTTATTGGATCAGACGGAATTATGAGGGCAACGGTGTGTCGGGAAGTTATCGTCGTGACCCCTGACCCGGCCGCAGAGCAAGAAGCAGTAGAAAGCATTGTGAAGGAGCTCACCGTTGACAAGAAAAACATATCTGCTCTCGTAAAGAAAAAAGTAAGCGCACAAGATAAAAGATCTAGCTCTGTTGCTATTGGTTTTATTGGAATAGTTTTTCTGATAATCCCGTTTCTTTTAATCATTGCTGTAGATTTACCGACATGCATCCAAGGCGGAAGAAACGTCATTAAATTATGTAAGGACGAAGAGAGATTTTGATCTGTATGTTAAAGATATAACAACGTGAATGTAACAGGCTATTTTTGTGTTTAAGACACTTGGATCCCTTTATTCTCGTCACAAGTAACCATCTGAACCACTGTGATATGATTTCATAAAAAATACCAAATTTTATTTATCCTGTACAGTATGATAGGAAGGTCTTGACGAGCAATCATTCGTCCCCGGGACAAACATATCAACAACTCAGACGCAAGTGTGACAACGCCTTGTTCTACTTTCGTTTTGTGTTGTTTTCCAGCGATTTTCAGGTTATTGTTGCGCTTTAATCCCCTCTGCAACGGTATCAAATAGTCACGTTTATCAAATCTCACAATGCGCAAGCGCCCTAAAAGATGTATGTAACATTTATAAACTGTTTGGGTAATATTTTCAAAAGACTTAATATTTTGAAGCTAAAACTTTCATATACTATTTCTTTAATTGGTGGGTTTGATTTGCACCCTAAAACACATTTTTTTGTTTTTGTCGGGGGTGGGGTAGGGAGAATCAGTAACAGCTAGGATTTGTGATATAAAATATAAGGCAACAAAAGTCACTGATGATCATCTAGGTTTTCTTTCTGGGTGCCCCGATATTACGAGATGGCCTATTCCTCGAAAGTACGATAGAATATATACCAAGTAACGTTGCTACGATAATAAATAATATATGTCAAAACTTCAAACAGTCATATAACGTCGCTTAGAATAAAGTAATTTGAATTACATGTTTAGTATATTAATTTTGAATTTTATATTTTGGAATTATTACAGCCAGAGCAACCACCTCTTTATCTAAATTTATACTTATGATTTTAGTTTGTTTGAATTATTCAATTATAAAAATACGAAATAATATTTGACACGTTATTTTATTAATATAAGATATACAATGTAGTTCATATTCGAGGTAAAACCAGCTATTTTAAGTAAAATATCTTTTTTTTTTCAGTATTTCTATTAGCCGAAAAGAAAGAACGTTAATAATCCTAGTAAATACTCATTTATTAAAATACTTGTTTGTTTTTTTTGGTTGTTTTTTTTAAAAAAAAAAAATACTAGTTTATTAAAACAAACTTGTGTATTAAAATACCTTTTTACTAAAAATACTTGTTTATTAATTAAAATACTTGTTTATTAATTACAATACTTGTTTCTTAATTTAAATACTTGTTTCTAAATTTAATTCTTGTTTATTTATTAAAATACTTGGTTATTTAATTGGAATACTTGTTTAATAATTGGAATACTTAACAAAAAATTGTTTTTTAACATGTTTTTTTGTTAATTAAAATACTTGCCTAATTGAAAATGCTTGTTTATGAAAATATTTTTTTTATTAATTAAAATACTTGTTTATTAATTAAAATACTTGTTTATTAATTAAAATACTTTTTTTTTTATTAATTAAAATACTTTTTTTTATTAATTAAAATACTTTTTTTTTATTAATTAAAACACTTTTTTTTATTAATTAAAATACTTTTTTTTTATTAATTAAAATACTTTTTTTTATTAATTATTACCGGCTTATTAATTAAAATGCTTGTTTATTAATTGAAATAATGAGTTTTCAATTCAATTGAAACACTTGGTTTTTTTTTAAATGTTTGTTGATTAAAATACTTGATTATTAAACTAATTGTTGATTAAAAAGCTAATTGTTTATTAAAGTAATTGGTTATAAATTTGTTACAATGTGTATTTCTATAAATACTTCATTATTATTACATGCTTCTTTATTAAGATACTTGTTTATTACAGATGCATTTCGTAAGAGCTAATTCTGCCTATTTCAGGTTTTTATTTAGCTTCAAATGTTATATAAATTATTAATTAGACATTTATTCACATGACAAGCCTATACTCAAACGGAGTATACCAAGTAACGTTGCTACGCTAATAAATAATATATGTCAAAACTTCAAACAGTCATAACGTCGCTTAGAATAAAGTAATTTGAATTACATGTTTATTATATTAATTTTGAATTATATATTTTGGAATTATTACAGCCAGAGCAACCATCTCTTTATCTAAATCGTGCTTGTTTATTAACATACTTGATTATTAAAAGGCTTGTTTATTAAAATGTTTGTTTACCTAAAACGCTTGTTTATCTAAATGTTTGTTTATTAAAAAGCTTTTTTTAAAAACAAAAAATACTTGTTTATTAAAAAAAGGGCGTGTTAATATACCTGTAATTTTAAATACCAGTATATAATATCATGCAAGTAGGTTTCTTTATCTTAAAGAAGATAGAGAGAGGGGGGGTGTCGTCCACTCATCACAAACTGTGTCATTTCGGGACTAAACTATTTATTTCAACAATTTGCTTTCGCGTAGACGTCCTAGAGTATACCCGAGAGGTTGGACAGGAGACCTCACGAAACGAAACCCCACCACTTTACTCAATGACAGATCGTATGGTGCAACGTGCACGCGTTAACCATTGCGACACCCAACCGCCCTGTCACTCAGACACGTTCTTGGTATCGATTGTAAGGAGTTCTCCACAGCGATTCACTACTTTACTTTATTATAAGGCAAATCAAATCACTTGCTATAGCCAGCATAGGTACATAGAATATAATTATATGGTGATTAGTGTACAACAGATAAGGAATATGAGGAACAAAATAATAATAGCAGGAAAAAAAAAATAATTAAAAAATAAGATATTTATGTATATAAAGTAGTTTCAATATTTATATTCGAAGATAATACAAAGGTACACCCAAAACAGTTCCCAATAGGTGTTTAGTTTCATTTTTGGGTGTTTAATAATTGATTATGTAATTTCATACTTTGGTATAGCTATTTTCCTAAATTGATTAGACATATATGTTTGGTGTTCGTTAAAATAGTTTTGAATTTATGTAAATAAGGAAAGGACCAAACTTTACGATGAAATAATTTGCGACGTAAATTTATATATGCAGGGCAACAGAGAAGAAATTGGTATTCGTTGTGCAGCATCTACACAATGTATTTTCTCGACCCGTTCTTGTATAACGCTCAGTTTCAACATTCAATTTAAGCATAACACATCGAAATTGACATATTTTATTTTGATGTTTATTATCAATTTATGAATTTAGGTAAATTTCATGTTCATGTACAGTTTTGAATAAATTAAAACAAAACGCTGCTTACTCGAATTTCCCAAGGAAAATAACCATTCTGGTTTAAATTGTTCTTGGATGCGGGTTTTAATTAGAGATACATTCTTTTGGTTTATGGAAGAAGGGTAATGCCAAATATTCCCCACCCAATTTTGTTTTCCCTTCTCATTATCAGTACAAATTATACTGTAAATTTGAAAAATTAATGAATTTGGAGAACGAGTAATTGTCAACCAATATTTAAGAATTCTTATTTTTTTTAACAGCTATCAGGGGAAATAACACAAATTCTCCTAGCATGGCCATAATTGGGATGTTTCTGCCCAGCCTTAATACAAATCTTAAAAAAAGCATTTAAAACCTGTTCTATGGGTTTACCAATATGAAACCCCCAAACCTTACAAGCATAAGTTAAAGTAGAGGAAACCAATGACTGGAAAAGTTTACATTTGACCAGAACGTCCACGAATGCTATTGGCTGATAGTTTGTTTCAACTGTGAATTTGATTTTTTTATCTAAACCATTCATTGTTTCTTGACTTTCTGCAACATTACCAATTCGTCATTCCAAATATAAATCCATCGTCAGTTAGAAATCCTTTCAATTGATTTTCTAAATATAACCTGTACTCTACTATCAAATTTAATTTCTAGCATTGATTATAATTTTTCCTGCACAAATCCAATTGTTAAATTACCAATAATTTGCTTGTTATTTGTTTTGCCAAATATGAATCTATAGTAATCAGTCGGAATGACTTTGGGGGTAGTATTTTACTAGGATCGATTGCCAAAAACAGGATGAAGTCGCGCGGATCCCTTGGTAGTTGGTAGAGTAGGTAGAAACGCCACGGTCTCGGCAAATAATCCTCATGGCAAACTGAACTTATCCTGTTGGTGCAGAAAAGTTGGACGTTATTTCGATTAGTGATGGGACAAGAGTTATGTCCCACTAAATCAACAATTTTATTTTTGAACCAAATCCCAGGAATTTAGTTACTTTAAAACTGTTAAGACTTCAAATGCGTTCATACAGTATGCGCAATCAATGCGAATTCCGGTGACCGGCCACCGGAATTCGAATTGGTTTGTCTTGGATTAAAAGCGGTGCGTCACAGCTTATTCGGATTGAATCACGCCACACTGAATGTACAGGCCCGTAGCCAGATTACTTGCTGCGGATGGGCCGTAAACGTTTTTTTAGGGGGGGGGGGCGGAGGGTTTTCGCCACCCAGATGGAGGGGATCCTCCCACTTCACATTTTAAAATGTAAACGCGCTTTCCAGTCCCAAAAATCGTTTTCTAGCGAACTTTGAACATTATGACAATTAGACGGGTCGACGACAGTGGTCATTGGGCAAGTCAGTACACAATATAGGGCAGCTAGATATCAGAACATAACCAATAATATGTAATGTATACACCATCTTTATTATGTTTGTTTGACTTGGCGGATCACGTGGCTAAGTGAGTAAGACGCTGGCTCGGAGGTCAGGTGTTCGATCCCTGCATTGACCGAGAAAGTTCATCCCGATTTTTCGGCGTGGTTTCCTCTTGTCAGTGATGCAGGACGGAGGGCCTGACAAGAACAGCTGTCTAGTCGTTCTGATGGGACGAAAAACCGAGGCCCCGTGTACACATTGGCGTGCACGTAAAAGATCCCTTGGCTTAACGGAACTATAAACTATTTAAACCATTTTGGAAGTTTGTGATAATTTATCCCGTGGAACTGGAAACGAACCAAATAAAGTAGAATAGTCCTAACCACTAGTCAAACAACGATACAGCCAGAACAATACCCGGAATTAGACCGTTTTCACAACGGGCGGTCTAGAAGGTTCGAGAGTCATCCATATCTAGTCTCTCGCAAGAGAGGCTAGAGGCTAGAGGCCTTGAGTCAAGCAAAAGTAACCAGCAAGGTTACAACTTTAAATGAGGTTTCAGGGCAAACGAGGAGCAGTCCATTTGCTGATTACACTATTTAGCTCGAATACATTATTTTGCCTATAACGTTTTTTAGGACTTCGAATTCTGTCTTATTGTTTGGATTGTTCGTACTTGGTTTTATTTTATTTATACATACTAATATAATCTTTTTTATGTATTTATTGAATAATGGTAGGGACAAAAGTTAACGAAATGAAAATGAAATGAAATGGGGTTTACCGTCCTACTGTTCTGCTCCTAAACTGGGTTAATGAAGACGGGCATACGCCATACAGTGGGTTATGAGGAAAATGTTGCCCGGGCAG